AAACTGTTGTAACTCATTTTTAACAGAGTTGAGAAAAACGCTGCTCAAGTTTTTTTTTTGCAATATCTAGTGATATAGAAAATATTGTATATGTTTTAATTTTTATGTAAATACAAATTTGTATGTGAGTACATATATCAGAAAATCAAGCAAGGTATAAAAATCTTATGCTAACTAGCGCTATCTACCATTGTCACTAGAACTAACATTAGACCTAGAACTAGAAACTTTCAGGTTTAGCCACACGTCTCTCAAGACGGCTAAACCCGAATGATTCTAGGATAAAAAAGAATAAGTCCACGATAAAAAAGAATTAATACTGACCATGATGAACCTGGAGGCTACAATTGCAGAATGATTCTAGTTCTAGGTCTTGTGTTAGTTCAGGTGATAGTGCTAGTGTAAAACTAGAACTAACACTAGACCTAGAACTAGAAAGTTTTGGGTTTAGCCGTGCGTCTTCAGACGCACGGCTAAACCCCATACTTTCTAGTTCTAGGTCTAGTGTTAGTTTTAGTTTTAGTTCAATAGCAACATAGAATCTAGCGCTATCTTGTGCTTACTAGCGCTACATAACACTGTCACTAGAACTACCTAATACTGTCACTAGAACTAACACACGACTTAGAACTAAAATCATTCGAGTTTAGCCGTACGTCTCAAAAGACGGCTAAACCCGAATATTTCTAGTTCTAGCTCTAGTGTTATTTCTACCTTTAGTTCAATGTAAAATATTCAACAATCTAACGCTGAATAAGGACTAAAACTAGAACTACAGACTTTGATTTAAAATTAAATTATTTATTTGAGATAGTAATATTAATACTTAGTAGTAGTCTCTGATGATGGCAGTAACCGAAACTAGTTAGACAACAAAAATATATAAAAGTGTATAAATCTTTGTAAACTTTGTAAACCCGATGTTTTAGTTCGTTAATAATATACAATCTAGCATTATCTACTGCTTACTAGGACTTCCTAACAGTGTCACTAGAACTAACACTAGACCTAGAACTAGAAACATTAGACTAGACTAGAACGTCTCAAAAGACGGCTAAACCCGAATGTTTCTAGTCCTAGGTCTAGTGTTAGTTCTAATTTTACTCTAGNATAATATATTCGTAACCATGGAAACGTAATGTTTACATTTTCCAATTTCTCTAAAACTGTCAAAATAAATAAGTAATTGGAAAACAAAGAAAAATGAAATGATGTGTGATAGAAATGTTGAACGTTATATCTCCACGTCATTTCGACTTCATAAGTCAGCGTTAGTCTGTAGATTCAAGTCAAAGCCAAGAGGGCGTCTAAGCCGATCCGAGAGATCTCTAGGCGACCCGAGCTCGCGGCCGGATTTCTGGATTTTAGGATTTCTCGTCGAGCCGCGAAATATTTACCGTTACGTCGGCTCGTTCGGATAATCCCCGATTCCAAAGACATTGTCTGTCAGAGGGGTTTCTTCGGATTTCGGTTTATGCAACCAAACTTACGCGACTTAAAACCTAAAATTAGAGTTTTACTCAAAAGAGGCTCTGGATTCTTTTTTTTTCGTGATGTCGGATGGGTTGGAAAAGAAAATGGGGATGGGAAGCCCGCATCACAATTTGCAAAAGCGTTCCCCCTATTTCCCATTACGTCCTTTACGCCACCGTAAATTAAATTTTCGTCCGGCGTTAGCAGAGAGCGACGCGCGCAGAACATTCGGAGCGGCGGGTGGTGTGTAGAGTAGACGATAGGGGGCGGTGAGACGAAAAAGCGGCGCTCCACCGAATTTAAAAAAAGCTTTATTTCAGCAAACACGAGCCCGCCGGCCCGTAAAGCTCTGCCGCTGCGCTTTTTTCCCCCGCTCTGTTTTTCAATTTGCTCGAGTGCCGGGACGCTTTGTTCGGCGTGCGCGCCTCCGCCCCCTCAATTCGCACAAAAGGGGCGCTACCACCGTTACTACCAACCCTCGTTCCCCCAAGCTCGAATAACGCCATCTGGTGCGGGACGCAAAAAGCCTCCCCCGACCATCATAATCCAATTAGTTGGCGATGCAAGTGACGTACTCGGTACCTCGTTGACATGTTCGCAGTGGCGCCCCCGAAAAACTGCATAATCCAGCAACGCGCGGCCCTCCGCGATCAAGTACCCCATTCAATTATTGCTGCTCGCGCCCGCCGTTTTATTACAATTGCCGTACGTTCGTTCGTTACAGCAGGACTTTTTTACAACTTTTTTTTAACGGCGGGCCATTTTTCATCGTCCCGAACGAACCAGTATTGATTAACTAGAAGGGCTGTTGAGCGTGTCGAAAATATGAGAGCGCGTTTTTAAACGGCGATTGACAAGCGGCGGACAGCGAACCTGTAGCGGGTTTTATTTGTTTTACGCGGGGTGTCGAACCTCCAATTACACTAAATTGAAAATACTAAATCGAAATCGTTAAAAAAATTTAAATATAGACATCAATATAGTCATCATTGCAAGTATGCAACCAATATCACAGTATTGGTATTGCAATAACTAAATCGCGTATTTTGGTAGTTTGGTAAAGATAACCAATTAATAATTAAAGACTGTATCGTTAACTTCTATTTGACTTCTTTCAACTATATCTCTTACAATTAATTACACTATACTTATACTAGACCTGCTGCTAACGTAGCACAACAAACCTTGTTATGTTTGTTGTACTAACCTTATTAACTTTCGAGCGTCATAAAATTTATGACAATTTTCGTTTTTATAATATATCTCCTTAGATTAGACATGTATTTTGAACATGATGAAAAAAAATGTAAAAAACTATACATTGAGGTTGTCTTTATGGCAAAAAAGGTATACAGGTGTCCCGTATCTTCTGCATCAGAGCATTATACGGTTGTAGGATACATTATTCTGAAGCGATCTTTCTATTAAAATTCTTCCGAAATGTTTATAATAACCACACGGGAACTGTTTAAAGTCGTCCAATAGCGGAAAAAGTTTATTTCTCTTTCCGTGTCGAATCTATTGGTGAGTACACGTGCGAAACTAGTTTAGAACGGCGCGGTGGACCGGCCGGGGGTGAGACCGATTGTCTGAGTGTGATTTACGAACTCCGAAGGCGTTTCCCTTCCGAAGCTATAAAAATCTTATGCTAACTAGTGCTACCTACCACTATCACTAGAACTAACATTAGACCTAGAACTTGAAACATTCGGGCTAAGCCGCTCGTCTCTCAAGACGGCTAAACCCGAATGATTATAGTTCTAGGTCGTGTGTTAGTTCTAGGTTTTGTGTTAGTTCTAGGTAGTGCTAGTGCAAGCCGCCTTTTGAGACTTTCGGCTAAACCCGAATGTTTCTAGTTCTAGGTCTAGTGTTAGTTCTGGTTTTACACTAGCACTATCTAGAACTAACACTAGACCTAGAACTAGAATCATTCGGGTTTAGCCGTCTTGAGAGACGTGCGGCTAAACCCGAATGTTTTCTAGTTCTAGGTCTAATGTTAATTCTAGTGGCAGTGGTAGGTAGCGTTAGTTAGCATAAGATATTACTATGTTGCATATTCTATTTGAACTAAAACTAGAACTAGCACTAAACTTAAAACTAGAAACACTCGGGTTGAACCATCTTGAAAGACGTACGGCTTGAAAACTCAAGCTTTTTCCAAGCAAAACTTTTCCTCTGCAAAACTACTCAATACCTGTACTATTAAGCTATGTTACATTTTATGTGGAACAGTGCAAGTGCATAGTAGTTTCGTAGCTATGGTTACTGCTTTCATACAGTGTGTTAATTAATTATCGTACCCGACGTCATCATTGCAAGTATGCAACCAATATCACAGTACTGGTATTGCAATACGCGATTTGCGTATTCAGATATATTCAGTGTGATATTGGTTGCATACTTGCAATGATGACACTCGGTATGTAGTTTATAAATGTTGTTAGATTTCAAAAATTAATCGATTTCATTTTATGGTCCTAATACTTGTATGATATAAATGAAATATTTTTACTCTTAAAAATAATGCAATACTTATTAATACGGACCTGATGTAATAAAATTTATGAAACGCGCCCGCTGGTGTTATAAAAATCGGATGGTCGAAGGTTAAGTAACGTTTTCATCCACAAAACCGAAATCCAATATAAACGTTTTCAAACATCATCTCTTTTGGTCGAAATACACCCTCGAGACTTCGCCCTCTTGAACCACCCCGTAACCACCCGCGACTCCCGTCTCGCATTATTAAAATCGAAATATTCATCTTATTATTCAGATGGGGTTCAAGTGAATAGTCGAGGGCGATATTCAAGTTCGGCCGAGCGTGAACTCTCGAGGGTTGGCGTCGTTCTTCGGGTCCCCGGCGCCACTCGAGCCGCCCCTTTGTGCCCCTTTATGCTGCTCGAGGCCGTATTTATAGATCTCTCGAAAAACCGGTGGCCGCGGGGATTCGGCGCGAAAATAAAGCCCCAGATTAGCATTAAAAATGTACCCGGTCCCGAAACTGCGGTGGAAAATTTGCACGGGAGCGGATTGTAGGGTGAAGCCGCCGCCCCCGGCCGAGATCTCCTTTGTTATTCATGCACCGGTGGAAAACGCTTTTCTCGCCCGCCTCGCGCTCCTTTTTCCACTTCTTTCACCACCGCCGCTTACTCCCGTATCTACCCTTAAATCTTCCGCTCCCAACTCCCCGTGGGGGATTTCGTCCCCGGAAATTTCCACTTTTGTTTCACAGGGAGAGACTCGGTTTTAAATATTGACGTCGTGCATCCATCTTGGGAACTCACCCCTTGCATTTTTCACGCCTTTAGACAAAGCTGTCGAGGTTTCCCAGTGATGATGGGATCGTGAAAAGAAGTTTAACTTTTTGCTTTTACTAAAATACAAAATTTTTTTTTAGTTTCAGATTTTTATTAAACCATATTTTCTTGGTTTTATAATGTTTTATGAAATAACGTTTTTAGCGATAAAATAACTCTCTCTACGTAGAGTATTTAGTGTATTTCTATCTCTGTTTTTGTTTGTAGAAAAAGTTTCCCGATTCTATGATCCATCACGTCATGTTTCAGGTTAGTTTTAGTTTTCTGCTTCTCACACCTGCCCTTTTCCGCCACTTTTTGCGATCACTCACTGACTACCTCACCATTTCTTCTGCGGCTTTGTCGCTTTTTCTTATTAAACAAAACTAACCCTGAAACTACTAAAACCCTTTTTCTAACATCCGGCTTTGAATTTTTTTTATGAGAAAAAAATAAAATTATATTTTCTATTATTTTCAGCAACAAAGGCCGGATCTTCCGAGACTACTACAACAAATGCACGCTCAACAATTACCTGCACACGCCGCTGCGCCCCCTATTTCAATGATGCCACATCCTGGTTTAGGGGCGCCACCCCCAAGTACGGCTGCTAGCATATTGGGGCTTTCTTCACTTGGTGGAGGACCTGCTCATAATCCATTAGCGATGTTAGCTAAACCAGATCTTCATCGATCCGATGACGTCAAATCAAATAGTGGTAAGAAATAATTATTATTTTGGTATTACTTATAAGCATTTTATTGTTTTTTAACCCTTCCTCTATAAACCTGGGTATTTCCTGTCCGACCTACAACTGTTTAGGCAAATAATTTCTTCATTTCATATAAAAAAATATGTATGCAAAAATAAATTTTTCGTTTACAGACGAAGGGTTAATATTTACAATTTTCCCTTCTACTATACAGGGCTTCCCAAAACTCCCAGGACGGAGCTATAAGTTTTAGAACAGGTTAGAACTTCCATGCCTACATTTTTAAATAGGTAATGAAAAAAGAAACACAATCCCATAAACCAAAACCCAATATCTTAATTCTTTTAAGAATTATGAGGTTTTCTTTCAACTATTTTCAACAAACTTATTTTCAAAATTTTACTTTTGATCATTCATGGCATTCATGACATGTTTTTTAGTTTCACTACACACCACCAGATGGCGCCACATTCATTTCAAATTTCCCGCGCTGTGACGTCACTTCCTGCGCGCGCACGTGCAGACGTCACAGGGGGATTAGGGGGATTAACTTCCGGTCGGGAACTCTCGTTTTTATACTACTATTAACTCCAAAAATAGCACAAAAACTAGCCGAAAAAGAAAGAATCACTCTTTTAATGATTCGTGGCTTTGGGGATAGAACAAGATCTTACGATGAAGTGCGGCACGTGTTCAATGATTTTTTTTGATCACCGATCACCGATTTCTAAATCAACTGTCGAAAGAACTGTTCGAAGATTTCAAGAAGAGGGAACTGTAAAAGATCTTCCGAGAACTGGTAGACTGAAATCTGCAACAATTCCAGAAAAAACGAAGAACTGTCCTTTATTGCAGAACCTTCAAGTTTCTTACTAAAAGGGTTCACAAAATTTNACCAGATCTTCATCGATCCGATGACGTCAAATCAAATAGTGGTAAGAAATAATTATTATTTTGGTATTACTTATAAGCATTTTATTGTTTTTTAATATTTATAATTTTCCCTTCTACTATATATTCTACTATACAGGGCTTCCCAAAACTCCCGGGACGGAAAATTTGGGGATCACTAAAGAGTAATAAAAATAACATTCTTAGACAGTTTAGAACTTCCCCTACATTTTTAAATAGCAACCCCTGCCGAGTTTTACCTTATTTTATAGGTAATGAAAAAAGAAACACAACCCCAAAAACCAAGACCCAATATCTTAATTCTTTTAAGAATTATGAGGTTTTCTTTCGACTATTTTCAACAAACTTGTTTTCTAAATTTTATTTTTATTAACTCCAAAAACGGCGCAAAAACTAGCCTAAAAATCACTCTTTTAATGTTTCGTGGTTTTGGGAATAGAACAAGATCTTACGATGAAGTCCGAGACGTATCAATGATTTTTTCCATTATTTACTACTCACGTCGTGTAACCTTCATTTCAGGTCACGTACAAGGTCAATGTCATGGTTACAATTAAGGTTGACTTCAAGGTCTCCGTTGAGGTCAAAGTAAAAGTCATTGTTCAGGTCAAGGTTACTGATCAACGTGATGGTCACTCAACGTGATCTTGACCTGAGGTGAGCTCAAAGTAAAGGTCATTGTTTAGGTCAAGGTTACTGGTCAACGACTCCCTTTGCAATAGCCGATTCTGGAACCTCCTCCCAGAACCTCAGGACAAGGTCAAGGTCATGGTCACTCAGGTCAAGGTTACTGGTCAACGACCCCCTTTGCAATAGCCGATTCTGGAACCTCCTCCCAGAACCTCAGGACAAGGTCAAGGTCATGGTCACTCAACGTAACCTTGGCCTTGACCTTGACCTGAGGTTCTGAGAGGAGGTTCTAGAATCGGCTTTTATCTACTACTACCGACCACCGATTTCTAAATCAAGTGTCGAAAGAACTGTTCGAAGATTTCAAGAAGAGGGAACTGTAAAAGATCTTCCGAGAACTGGTAGACTGAAATCTGCAACAATTCCAGAAAAAACGAAGAACTGTCCTTTATTGCAGAACCTTCAAGTTTCTTACTAAAAGGGTTCACAAAATTTTGAAAAGAAATAAATATTTCCCCTGTAAGTTTCACCTAGTTCAGGAATTGAACGAAGGTGACTTCGAAGGAAGGTTGGAATTCTGCGAAATTTTCTTTTGAATGTTGTTTTCTCTGATAAGGCTACTTTCTACTTGAATGGCAAGGTTAATAGACACAATTATTGATATTAAAGTGACGAAAATCCACGTTTAATAAGAGAAGATCATCATCAAGACCGCAGAAAATTAATGTATGGACTGCACTGAGATCTTATATGTAACTGAACATTCCTTAATAATAAACTTTCCTTGAACTCCAATTGTTAATTTCAAGTCAAGTAACCAGAAACATTTTATGGACTGTTGTAAATAATCTTCCACCCTACCAAATTATAGAAAACATATGTGAAACAAAAATAAAATGTTAATAAAAATAACAATATGTTTATGAGAATTGTGAGGTTATAATTGTAGGTACAGTAGAGACTTGAAACTATAGCTAAATTCAGGTCGGTACATCCAACATGTCTGACTTTCTGATTACCCCCACCACCACCACATACGCACTCTAGATTATATATAAGATCTCAATGATGGATTGGTATTATGGGAGAGAATGTAATTGGTCCATTTTTTATTAATAGAAATTTGGACGGAGACAGATATCTGCAACTAGTAGAAAATCAAGTAATTTCAAGTGTTCCGTATACCCTAATGGTATTGACAATAAGTGGTTCCAACAAAGTGGTTTAGTCGTGCAAGCCTCACGTTTCCAAATCGTTGGATTTGTAGAAGAGTTGAAATTGAGTGACCACCAGAATCTCCTGATCTAACACCACTCGATTTTTTCTTTTGGGGGTTTCTGAAAAGTAAAATGTATGCAACAAAACCAGAATGAATAAATGATTTGGAAAATCGCATACTTGAAGAAACCACCAATATCACTAGAAATAGGCTCCTGATGGTTCAAAATCCCATTTATGAGCGTTTGAGTCATTGCGAGACCGAAGAAGGTCGACAATTTAAACATTTGTTATAAAGATCGTAATAAACGTGCAAAAAAACATGAAAACATTTTATTTTCCCATTTGGTACCCAACCCAACCCCTCATCATTCTTGATAGAATTAAGATATCGGCTTTTGGTTTATGGGGTTGTGCTGCTTTTTCATTACCTTTAAAATAAGGTAAAACTCGACAGAGGTTGCTATTTAAAAATGTAGGGGTAGTCCCAACCCAAAACTTTTCCTTCGCTCGTTCAAAACTTATAGCTCCGTCCCGGGAGTTTTGGAAAGCCCTGTATATATATACACCTCCAGATCTTCTACACTCCTCCCCCTTTCCACCCCTTCGCCTCCTCGCCCCATCACCTCCCTCATCCATCTTTTGTATTCGCCCCCCTCTCCCAAAATCTGCTTCCTATCCATTGCCTCCTCCCTTAGTTCACTACACCCCTCTCCTCATTACCATAGCGAAATCTAGTCTCCAATCTCTTCCCTTCATCATCCCCCTCGATCAACAAATATTTTGGCAGTTCCTCTGTCACTATCTCCCCATACCTTTCATTGTATCTCCCTTTTCGTATCTGTGACCTTCTTTCCTGCCTCTGTATATCCCTGTCCCTATCTCTCAGTTTCACCAATACACATTTCACCTCTTTCCGCTGTTCTGTTTTCGATCTCAGTTAGTGAGTATCCCACTCTTCTATAATATTCTTCCCTGTGTCTTTGCCCATAGATCAGCCTCCTCTCCTTAATTTCCCTCCAGCACTCTCCCAGGATCCTGCAATGTGGTCTTGTTTCTATCATTTCCTCATACTTCACTGCTCTTCTCCCCACCTCCATCCATACTGCCTCCACCTTAACCTCCTCCCTCACTACATACCCTTTTTTTTTTTTACGAGGTTGGGGAAAATCTGCGAACAGACATCTGACCTGGGATCTTGAGCGGTCAGATAGTGTGGGGTTAAGGCACAAAAGCCCCGACCCACTAAAAACGAGCTTTCTTCGGAGTATTGTTAATTCATTCTTTCTGCCATTGAACCTTCTCCTCCCTTTCCTTTGTTACAACCACCTCCCTTACAAACTCTTCCACAATCTTCCATTTTTCTTTCAATTTTTTCCACATTTCCTCACATATTTCATTCCATCTTTTACAAGCAAAAAATGTATGCTCCACATCATCTATTTTATCTTCACAATAATCACACATTTCTTCCTCTCTTCTCTTATGTTTGTGTAAGTAGGCTTTAAAGCAACCATGACCACTCAAGAATTGGCACATACCCTGGGGTCTCCCTTGCCAACCCTAGTACCCATCTCCAATATCGTGTTTGAATATCGTCCAGCAAACTTTGTGCTCTCCATCCCCACACTTCTGCGCCGTACATCATTGTGCTCTTTACCAAGCCATCAAACATAACCTTTCTTTTTCCCACGTCCCTCTCAAAAGTTCTTTCTCCCCATCACCCTGTTCGCTCTTTTTTCCATCGCCCTCACGTGCGTCTCGACCTTATTACTTTCCGGGAAACCATATCCCAGGTACAGTCATGTTCACGGGAAATGCACACTCATGGTCAAGCGCTGTTGTGAGATCCGACATGCCGCTGGCTCGGCTGGCTAAACGGACTAAGCCGAACGCCCACGAGCTACGAGCTTGGTGTGCGCTCGGCTCAGCTCGTTTAGCCAGCGGCATGTCGGATCTCACAACAGCACTTGACCATGAGCGCGTAACCTTGAGCGTGCATTTCCCGTGAACATGACTATACGTGTACTCTTTCACTTGCTCTATCTCTCTTCCCTGCCACCTCCTCATTATCTTTTTTGTATTCTGGGTGTTTACCTCCAACCCCTTCGCTTTAAAATATCTTTCCAGAGCCCTTTCTCGAACAACAACCACCAAATCGTCCGCGTACGCCAAGGCGTGCACCTTTGTTCCTCCTATCACCCATTTTGGTATTAATAAATCATTTAATAAAGTCGATTAACACCCTTCGTAGTTATAGGTCATGACCTTATCGAGTGCTTACCACGAACCCCCCACGTTCATATTCGACGTGTAAACAGGGCAATAAAACATCAATACCGTTTACCGCGACCGGCACTGCCTTTCCGTTTCCACTCAGGGGCAGATTTCTACCCCGGGGGTTCACCCCGCCCCCCTCTTCGAGCTACTCGACATCGTAACTAAATTCCGAATCCAATTTCATTTCCTACCCTCTCGACTCGACGGGGTAATATATTCCGCCCGATTTCGCCCGCCCGGATGGAAATTCTAAAAATAATGCATCCAACCCCCGGGAGCAAATCTGCGGAAATCTGTCGAGCAGGTCGTCGCAGAAATGAGGGGCGAAGAGGGCGATTTTTAGATTTAGAAGGGGCCGATCGCGAGTGTGATGGATTTTGAGCGAAGAAAATCTTTCGGCTCCTCAAAATCCTTCGATCCCTTTCGTTGGGTTGAAATGGAAGGGGGGAGGTTTGAGGATGAACGGAGCCGGAATTTACGAGTCGTTATTAGGTGACTGGAGGGTTCCGTTTCCGCCCCTATAAATCGGGGGCGAAATTAAACTTTTTCACTTCGTTTGCCGTCCCGTTGGCACTCCTGCTCTTGAAGCTCCGAATAAATCATGTGGTGGGGAAGTTTTACAAGAAAGTTTAAGGTCCATTTGCCCTGTCAAAAGTGTAAACCTCAAGTTGAAAATGTGAAAAATTCATTTTATATCATTTTTATTCGATTTAGTTTCCTTATCGAGTAAAAACCCTTTTTTCGTTCATCTCATTAGTTCTCCGGTTAAAAAGAATTAGCACCGGGGTCGAATTTCCCCCCATAGAGACGTGGTCTCAAAGAACTTCTCTGCACAAGGTCGGATCTCTAAACGGCAATAAAACCGTTTTACGACCTCCACCGCCGGCGCACCACTCCATTATTCCACGAGGCCAGTAATTAGATTCTCCCCCGGCGAATCCAACCACCCCAACTCTCCCTGTCCTCCAACTCGCCCACTGAGATTTTAATTTCTCGGAGAGGCTACTTATACGCCTCGTTTTTATTCCGTCCCTTTTCTTTTACTTACTCTTCTCTATCTTTCCTTTTCTCACTTTTTCCCTTCTTTCTTTCATCTTGCCGGTTCTTTCCTGGTTCGTGGTGAGTAATCTCTTGAGACTACGAGATCTAAGGAGAAAAGAGAGAGAGACCTAAATCGATAGCACGGCTCTGGAGTTGTCTTTGCAACGATCAGACCTAGGGATAAAGAGGGCGGTTTAAGGGTGGATTCAAAAGGAAAGGGGATCTGGGGTTTGGTGGGATCGAGTTTGGGTGGATCCCTGATGGAGGCGCTGGCGTGTAAACTTCGCCCGTGGAAGTGTTCCGAACTGATTACACTTCGCTTGCGCAAACACGCGAGGCGTTAAGTTTGATCTTGCATCGTCGGGAAATTTCCTGCGGGTTACATCTTTTTTAAGCCCTTTTTAAGAAAGTATCGAATGTTTCTAGTTCTAGGTTTAGTGTTAGTTCTAGTTTTAGTTCAATAAAAATATGCAACATAGTGATTTCTTATGCTAACTAGTGCTACTTACCATTGTCACTAGAACTAACATTGGACCTAGAACTAGAAACATTCGGATTTAGCCACACGTCTATCAAGACAACAAAACCCAGATGATTCTAGATCTTGTGTTAGTTCTAGTTTTAGTTCAATAACAATATAGAATCTAGCGCTATCTAGTGCATGCTAGTGCTACCTAACACTGTCACTAGAACTAACACTAGACCGAGAACTAGAAACATTCGGATTTAGCCGCACGTCTCTCAAGACGGCTAAACCCGAATGATTCTAGTTCTACGTCTTGTGTTAGTTCTAGTGATATTGCTAGTGTAAAACTAGAACTAACACTAGACCGAGAACTAGAATCATTTGGGCTTAGCCGCATGTCTCTCAAGACGGCTAAGCCCGAATGATTCTAGTTCCAGGTCTTGTGTTAATTCTAGTGATAGTGCTAGTGTAAAACTAGAACAACCACTCTAGACCTAGAACTAGAAACATTCGAATTTAGCCTCACGTCTCTCAAGACGGCTAAATCCGAATGATTCTAGTTCCAGGTCTTGTGGTAGTTCTACTTTTAGTTCAATAACAAAATAAAATCTAGCGCAATCTAGTGCATACTAGCGCTACCTAACACTGTCATTAGAACTAACACTAGACCGAGAACTAGAAACATTCGGGTTTAGCCGCACGTCTCTCAAGACGGCTAAACCCGAATGATTCTAGTTCTAGGTCTAGTGATAGTACTAGTGTAAAACTAGAACTAACACTAGACCGAGAACTAGAATCATTTGGGCTTAGCCGCACGTCTCTCAAGACGGCTAAGCCCGAATGATTCTAGTTCCAGGTCTTGTGTTAGTTCTAGTTTTAGTTCAATAACAATATAAAATCTAGCGCTATCTAGTGCATGCTAGCGCTACCTAACACTGTCACTAGAACTAACACTAGACCGAGAACTAGAATCATTTGGACTTAGCAGCACGTCTCTCAAGACGGCTAAACCCGAATGATTCTAGTTCCAGATCTTGTGTTAGTTCTAGTTTTAGTTCAATATAGAATCTAGCGCTATCTAGTGCATACTAGCGCTACCTAACACTGTCACTAGAACTAACACTAGACCGAGAACTAGAAACATTCGGGTTTAACCGCACGTCTCTCAAGACGGCTAAACCCGAATGATTCTAGTACTAGGTCTTGTGTTAGTTCTAGTGATAGTGCTAGTGTAAAACTAGAACTAACACTAGACCGAGAACTAGAATCATTTAGGCTTAGCCGCACGTCTTTCAAGACGGCTAATCCCGAATGAGTCTAGTTCCAGGTCTTGTGTTAGTTCTGCTAATAGTACTAGTATAAAACTAGAACTAACACTAGACCTAGAACTAGAAAGTTTCGGGTTTAGCCGTGCGTCTTCAGACGCACGGCTAAACCCCATACTTTCTAGTTCTAGGTCTAGTGTTAGTTCTAGTTTTTGTTCAATAACAATATAGAATCTAGCACTATCTTGTGCATACTAGCGCTACCTAACACTGTCAGTAGAACTAATACTAGACCGAGAACTAGAAACATTCGGGTTTAGCCGCACATCACTCAAGACGGCTAAACCCGAATGATTCTAGTTCTACGACTTGTGTTAGTTCCAGTGATAGTGCTAGTGAGAAACTAGAACTAACACTAGACCTAGAACTAGAAAGTATTGGGTTTAGCCTTGCATCTTGTAATCACTCCTGTTCGAAGGTTAAGTTTTTTTATCCCCAGTTAACAATTATTTCACGAGAAGTATCGCTTTCGACACCTACAGAAAAGAGTGCTTCCATAGAATCTCCTATAGGAGCACTCGCCACTTCATCTCCATCGTCTCCTTTAAAATCCAATTAGGTACAAACTCGACGGCGTAGCGAGAACGGAGATAAAGCGCGCGAACGAGCTCCTCTGCATCCCGATCCTCTTGTGTCCTCTCGAGAACGCAAAAAAAAGGAAACCGCGGTCCCCCATTTCCCTTTAGAGTCGACTGAATTGAAAAGGAAGGGACGAGAAAGAAAAAAAAAGGAGTGGTTGGAAAGAGGATCTGAACGACCCTACACAAATATCTTTCCGGGAAATCTTCTTTTCTATTACATTTTTTTGAAAGCGAAAGAAATTAATTATTATTTCTTTATTTTCAGGCCTCAATTCAGCAGAAGAACGACACGTAAGTATTTATATGAGTGTTAATTAATTATCGTACTCGACGTCATTATTGCAAGTATGCAACCAATATAACAGCGCAATACGCGATATGCGTATAATGCGTATGGCGCTGTGATATTGGTTGCATACACACTGTACATACAAAGTTTCAATTTCAAAAATTTTCCGTCAAAATATAACCGTAACAACTGTGCTCAAATAACCGCGTCTCGCGCAAATAACCGTCTCGTTCCAAACGTTTCCAATCCGAAAACTCGACTCGAAAGCTCGATTTGGGGGTAAGTTGAACGGAGATGGAAGATAGAGATACAAAGACCTTCTATATAGGGGCTAAATCCCCCCTTCAGCTACCAATATTGGTTTCCCCCGGTTTCCGTCTAATCCGAGATTTGCTGACCGAGCGGCCACTTCGGCTCCCCACTAAAGGGACCGACGGCTGCTGGCGTCGCGACGCCCTCGCTTACCACCCAGCCACATCGCCTGGTAGTGGTCGACTTGCGAAGCTCTCGAGAGCCGGCTTTTATTGCCCTCTAGCGGAAACGATCCCGAACGATCGCAAACCGTCGCCTTTGCTTTTGGCCTTCTCCAAGTAGAAGATCCGGGCTTAATTGGTTGTACATTACACTCCTTTTTGCTCAAACGTGATTTAAAAAAAAATCAATCAATTATTACCACTAATTTGTGTTATTTACCCGATTAAGCGAAATATTGTCCCAATTAAGCGATACCACCATTAAAATTATAGTAATGAAGTAACTTTTGTTAAAAAAAAATGGTTAAATATTCGTATGGATATATGAAAAGTATCGATCTCCTCCTCACTGGCGGAATTGAAAAGCATCCTTTTCTATTCCGGGGGCGATAAATCAACACGACTACCGGGAATCGGTTGTGCCACGATACGAACGCGAATTTCCCTGGTAATCGTAACGGCAGTGGCAGCAACGGTCGGTTTCGTATTTTAGAAGCGATGTCCCGATAAGCTCTCCGTTTGAATTCGTGATTTTATTCTTTTTTTTTCGCTTCAACCGTTTCAATCGTATGCATATATGATTTCCTCTTCTGCGAAATAATCAAAATATTGCGACTAAAAGTAGTCTCTTCAAGTAGAATTGAACGTAATGAAAATAAATAAACAGTAATAAAAACTGTTCACGAATGGCAAAATAAACCGTGATGGTAGTAAAAAGGGGGTAGTGAAGAATAATCAATATCTAACTTGGTTATTATTGCTGCAGTATACGAGGTTACATGATGGTCTATAAAAACTTTGGTGTCGAAGACGACGAATAAGAGAGTGCGTACGAGTGGGCAATATGTCGTTTCGTCTCCGGTGAGGGTAGCTTACATAAAAAGAGTCATAAAATGTTCCCCTCTTTAGTTTTTAAGATGGTCTGTAAAGGCGACCCTTAGCGTCAAGGGATTTTTGACGGTTGATGGACACATATATTTCAAGGTTTTATGGTTCATTTTTTTTTTTTGGAGTGGTAACCTAAACCAACAAGAATTTTCTAATACCCTTTATTTGTACACGTTGAATCAACACAAATTTTGCATATGTTTATTATTAAGAGAAAATTATGCTGGTATCGGTTTTCTTAGATACTTTTTATGCTTCAACCAGATTCCAGATTCGGATTACTACCATTAACAACTTGAAAAAGCATATTTTTGTATTTTTCTCGATATGGACGCATCTAATAGCAAAAGTAAAAGAGAGCAGTGTAACTAAGAATAAATAGGAATATTGTTAAGTACAATAAAAATATACAACGATCTTGCGCTGTATAGCAAATAAAACTAAAACTAACACAAGACCTAGAACTAGAAAGTATTGGGTTTAGCCGTGCGTCTGAAGTGTAGGGCTTCCAAAGCAGCAGTCGGACAGGATCTTATTGCACCCGTTATGTTAAAACATGCTATCCGCTGGATTTGTGCCAACTGTTGTTGTGCTGTCTTATGTTTTGTTTTTGGCCACTAATAAGGCGTAGGCGACCATGGGTCTGATTATTACTACGTAGGCCTAATGAGCCATTCGTGGTTTGAGACCCCAATTCCTTCCTAGGAGCCTGCGGCAGATCTGGTTTGCCATAATGGCCTTTTTGCTCACCTTATCTAAGTGTGAGTTCCAGTGTAGTTTACTGTCTAGTATTACCCCTAGGTATTTAACTTCTGTTTTGAGGTTAATAGTTCTGCTTTCAAAGGAGGGTGCTTTTATTTGTAGCTTCCTTCTCCGAGTGAAAGGGAGTATTCCGATTTTATTTGGATTGATGCTGAGCCCATTCCTTCTACACCAAGTACTGGTGAGTAGTAGGGCTTTTTACATTAGTTGAGTTATGATTGTATCACACTTACCTCGGATTGTGATTACCAGGTTATCAGCATACCCCTGAATCTTGAATCCATTTCTTGTTAGGGTGTTCATGAAGTCATCAATTACCAGACACCATAATAGAGGTGAAAGCACCCCCGCTTGGGCACATCCTCTTAGCGCCTTTATAGTCAACGTCTCGCCTCCCAGACTGGCTGTGATCTGCCGAGTTTTTAACATGGCTATAAACCATTGCCTCCTCTAAAGTGCTAGTCAAAGCGTGGAGAGCAGTAGTTGTTGATTTTGCTTTCTGGTAAGCATGTTGGCTAGGGTGGAGTGGATTAGTGACAAACACTCCATTCCTAAAGGATCGATTACCTTTTCTATCTCTTAGAGGAGAAATGAAGTTAGGTTAATTGGTCTGTATGCCTTGGGGTCGGCGTTTGAACGCCTACCACCTTTAGGTATGAAGACCAGCTTCATTTTGCTCCATAATGTGGGTATATAGCTAAGCGGGTATATATTCTTTGCGGTAAACCTGTGGGTTGGTACAGCGCGGACATCAGTGCCCAAGCAAAGCACTTATTATCGTTATTTTGCACGTTTATTACCGCTCTCTTCCCTTTTATGGATGTCGGTAAGTCGATGTAGCTCGATGCTCTTGTAGGATTAAACTTGTTACAGTTCACTTCAAGATATAATATTTCCAACAAGGTCCAACCTGCAGTATTAACACCTTTAGTTTCGCATTTTACTACTTTTCTATTCTTATACTCTTACCTGAGTCCCGTTCTTGGAATTCCGACATTTTCACCATAATCTCGTCCATAAAGTCCTCGTATGTTTGGTACAAGTCTACGGCTACTGTTATAATTTTATTTTTTGTGTTGAATGATTTGATTTCCACTTCTTCCTTCGTATTTATGAAATACAATCCAAAAATTTCCGTATTCACTTTTAAACTACCATTTACATTCCTCACGGACTGTATCAAACTGATAACTTTTTCTCTAATTCGGTTACTGAATTCCTTCATGTCTACGTACTTCCGTTCATGATCGCTCACTCTAAAACTACATATTTTATCTCCAAATATCGAATCTATTTTTTCTACACCATCATCTATTATTACGAAGGCTTTCTGTTTATGTTTGTTGCTGCGCAGATGTGAGGAATAACATTGTCTGGTTACGTGTTCATCACATATTTCACACACTATAACATCTCCTTGTTGATCCTCTTCCACCTTTCGACGTTTCCCAATACATGCTGTGCGTTGATGTCTCACAAGATTATCTGGTCTAGTAAACTCTTTGTAACACACGTCGCAGGTCAACATGTTCACAACACTCTTACTTCAATACTGTTGAACACGATTTTCTATCTGCTATTTAAAGCATACCTCCTCCGAAGTGGGGTTTTCAATGAACTCACGTCGTGTAACCTTCATTTCAGGTCACGTACAAGGTCAATGTCATGGTCACAATTAAGGTTGACTTCAAGGTCTCCGTTGAGGTCAAAGTAAAGGTCATTGTTCAGGTCAAGGTTACTGATCAAGGTCATGGTCACTAAACGTGATCTTGACCTGAGGTGAGCTCAAAGTAAAGGTCATTGTTTAGGTCAAGGTTACTGGTCAACGACCCCCTTTGCAATAGCCGATTCTGGAACCTCCTCCCAGAACCTCAGGGCAAGGTCAAGGTCATGGTCACTCAACGTGACCTTGGCCTTGACCTTGACCTGAGGTTCTGAGAGGAGGTTCTAGAATCGGCTTTTATCTACTACTTGTAGTTGGCTATATATAGGCATATTATACTGGTAGCAGGTCTTCTAAGCCTTTTTGCAGAAAAATAGGCAGAATTCCATCTCCTCCACACGATTTTAGGGGCTTGAAATTAGAAATAGCCCACCTTACTCTGTTGGGTGTAAAAGTGTTCCCAGCTATGCTGCGAACTCTACCTGATGTACGGGTTATGTCCATTACTTCAGGGTCGACATCTGCGTGGGAACAGACTTTTGAGGAAGGGAAGTGTGTACTCAGTAGAAGCTCCAACGATTCCGTACCATCCTCAGTGCATTTACCGTCTTGTTTGCATAGGTGGCCTAGATCAGTGTTGTGATTTTTTGCCGATTTATATAGCCGATTTTATGCAACCAATATCACAGTACGCGTATTGCAATACCAATACTGTGATATTGGTTGCATACTTGTAATGATGACGTCGGGTTTTATGGTTCATTATTTTTTTTTTGAATAATAACCTAAACCAACAAGAATTTTCTAATACGCTTTATTTGAAAACGTGGAATCAACAAAAATTTTGCATGAAAGGGGAAGATCCGACCTTCTAGTTGTGGAACGAATAAGAGAAGGAAAGTTTCGCGACGCGGAATAAAAGCCGGCCGCATTCGCAAACAGTTCCCTCTCGGATACGTGTTTTGTTTCGTAACCGCGAAGTGAAGGAGTGGGGTGTGCTGCCCCCGGATCTAATATACATTCCGGTCGGGAAACCGACCAGACCGAGAGCGATTTCCACGTTCTCGACGGATACCCCACCTCCACCCTCTTACTCCGACCCACAGACGGGCGTATACATATTACACACATCTGTATGCTAAAACAAACCAATCTCGAGGCAACAAGCCGGCGTGACGGCGGCTGCAGAAGATGAGGCGGCTGGGAATTGTAGGGG